CATATAAGTCATAAGTAACACATATCATTCTAAAATATATAGTAATATATTTTTTTTGCAAAAAAGTAAACTAAATTTAATATAATTTTCTCCTTAATTTTAAAATTTAAAAATAATTTTTTAACAAGCACCCGTGTAATACACGGGTATTGTACTAGTACGTAATTGTATATAAAAAGCTTAGAAGCTTATAAAATAACCCATCATAGTTGTATATAAAAATCTTAGGGGGTGATTGGATATGAATTCAACTAGTAAAAAACTAGTTTTTTAACTATAGTTAAGTTTGAAAAAAGTTGATATGGTTAGTTGTTAGTGGATATATTAAAATAATACTTAAAGTTGATATGATGTAATATTTATTTTAAAATTTTTTTTTGAAAGCGAAGTAAGAGAAAAATAATTGGAAGTGATGGTTAGTTAAAATTATGTGAGTAGATGAATAGTGAATTAAAATTGATGTGATGTGTAAGAATGATTGTTTGATATTATTTAATTATATTGATAATATTGTAGATAGTGTGGTTGAGTTAAAGTTGAGTTAAATTTGAGTTTTAAATGAGATTTTTACGGTATATTGGTATAATATGTAACCAATCGCCCCCTTATGAACTAACAAAATAATATATAAGTTAGATTATAATGCTTACCAAAAACCCTCTACTTTGAAGTTTCAGAAAAATATATAATTTGGGTCTCTAAAACGAAGTTGTTGGAATAAGAACATTATATACAACTAAGTAAATCAAATAATAAATTTTACCTCTAGAGGGCAATTTACATGTATACTTAATTCATTTATAAATAATTGTAAAAATACTAGATGATAAACTTTATTTGCACATTTACCTAACCTAGCATAAATATTTAGATAAATACTACATACAAAAAGTATTCTCTCTCCTCTCTCATTTTTCTACTCCTAACAATTCTCATTTATTATCCTAACAATTCTCATTCATTACTCTCTTTCTTGTTCCACATACTATATTTTGTATTCATCCGTTTTTTTTTTTTCTTCTCTCCTCCATAATATTTTCCTTCCATCCTCTCTCTTCTCTTTATCCATTCAATTTAAATTTAATTATCTCTTATGTAAATTCGTAAATTATTTTTTACCGTAAATTTATATTTAATTTATTTTTCAGTTTATTATAGGTTTATAAATCAGTTCAAGAACACATAGTAGTTTATTATAGGTTTATAAACCAATACAAGAATATAAAAATTATGAAAACATCAAGTATTCAGAATATCTAGTTTATTTTTCATATCATTATAGGTTTATAAACTAATACAAGAATACATAGATTATGAATAAATATTTATCTAGTGTTTATTAATATTTATGTCTGGTACATGATCAATTTATGTGTTGTATATTTTAAGTATATGTTTCGTATGCATAATCTGCAATTTGTTAGTGTTGAAAAACGAATTGAATTGTTTGCTATTTTTCTGGTGGCGTGTGATTCTTAATGTAATGTATATTTTAAGTGTTTTGATATGGATATTAGTACTATATCCGGCCTAACACGACTCGGCCCAACATAATTCGGCCCAGCACGGCTCGACCGTCGACCCCCCTCGACCCACTCAACCCCCAAACCCATCGACCCTTAACCCTCGACCCTATCGACCCACAAACCCTCGACCCCCATCGACCCCTATCGACCCACAAACCCTCGACCCCCATCGACCCCTATCGACCCTTGGACCGCCGACCCATGGGGCCTAACGGTCAACGCACGTAAGAGTGCATGGGGTGGGGCCGACTCGACCCGCGAGAGGGTCAAACCATGGAATTAGAGCCGACCCATGAGATGGGGTCGAACACCAACCCGAGATCGGCTCTTAGTAACGCCGATTACTACGTCGTCCGTACAACTAAATGCTATATATACGATAAATTCTAAGGTAGAAGGTAAGACTTCATTAATATCATTACTACAACATTTATTACATACAATTCTCTCTAAAAATCCGAAATCCTAACTTGGGCGTCGGAGGGTTTGCGCCGGAGAAATTCCGGCGCGCTTTCAGGTATCGGAGAACACGCAAGCTTGGGCCGGACCGAATCAAGCGAATCACGCCATAACCGGGAAGAACCTTCCGTAAGACCGGAGCCACCGATCTCGGACCATATCATGTTTGATATGTGATATTGTTACAATCAGTTAAGTACGTTTATTTATATTGTCTAT